ACCGAATGTATTGCGAAAATTGTTTTATTTCATGCGTATAATGAAAATTTATTTAAAATTATTTAAAGGAAAAAATTGATTTTAGTAATGTATTATGAACGTTTTTAAAAATATATCTAATAAAATGATATATTTGTTTCACAGCTGTGAATCGTAGTTAATTAACTTGATTAAATTATCAATGAATATTACCGTTGATCTGTTTCATTTTTAATTTTTCCAAATGAACAGAATGTTCATTATATGCGGTGATTATTTATGCAAAATTGAGTAGATATTTAGCCGATATTTGGTTGTTGAAATTATTTTATTTATGAAATTACGGAAGTCTTTTCTTTTTAGAAATTTGAATTGTAATTAATTAATTGATTAATATGACGTCATTACCGCTAAAAATTAATTTTATCACTCTCCCTCTATCTCTATTCTATCTGTTTTTCCATTTTATGCAATTTGGAATGACAAAGATAAGTGCTAGAGATAGGAGCTATATATTAATTATTGGTTATAATTAAAGTATTAACTTTTACACAAATCAATAATACCTAAATTTTCGTTTTAATTTATTCATACCAATTTTGATTCGAAAATAGTCTTGTGCTGCAACTTTTATGTTTGATCATACTCAAAAAATCAAATATTTCGACGATAATTTTTCTTCGAAAGTTATTTGAAACTTTTAACAAATTTGAGAGGAATGCTTACAGTGCTCATAAATTTTGTTGCTTATTAAAATATTTAAAATAATTAAGATAAAATTGTGAAATCAAAAAGGTATAAGCTAAAAATTGACATCCATAAATAGAAAGACTAATGCTTGACTACAATAATAATAATTATATGGTGGGAGTCATTTCACATCACACATGAATGATTCAATTTCCTCTTTGAATGACAGAATACGATTTCATTAAAATACCTGCTGCCTGAGATGAAATTGATATTTGATATGATCTAATCTTTAGAGAACAATTTATATTGAAATTTGCGAAGCATATACTACTAAGCATAACAAATAAACAAGGCGTAAACTACTGAATAAAATAAAGTAAAAAAGTCTAAACGTTACAATATGCTATAAACAGATTTCTGTACTGAGTTACCGTAAAATTTTTAGGAAAACAAAACTTAACTCAAAATTAAATACTTCGATGATGGTAAGGACAAATTTAGACACCAAATACATGGGATGTTCGCTGATAACACCTATTTCTGTACAAAATTATACGAAAATGGCAAATTCAAGTAACAGATCACGCGAAACACCGATATAACACTTATAAACTGAAATACTAGCAGCACTATGGGTCTCAGAAGTAGAGAAGCTAATTATGAATAAAGCAAAAAAAAAGAACCCTGTAATTGGAAATATAAAAGTATCAAATTGAATATGGAAATGCATGAAAAGACATTTCACAAAAAAAAGTCATATCTGATATAAGAGTAGAAACTATCCGGGTAACTAACTAAAGTTTTAGGCAGTGATGAAAACTGAACTTCGAAAAGCACCACCCTAAACATCTAGAAATTGTACCATTTTTTCTTCTCGTATTTTTCTACTAACTTTCCCGTTCGTTGCGAAAGAGCCATTGCATTTTCTTTAAGTCGTTCTGTTGCATCTACAGTTACATTTAGCTTTTCTGCACGCTCATTTAATGCCTGAAAATTTGGAATAACGAGATATCTAATCAAACTAATCCATTATTAATTAATTCAGGTAAAGCATTCGTCTTACGATACAGAAAACCCGAAAATGAAAATTTTAGAAATAACTAAGGATAAAAACATTTAAACTGCGTATAATTTTTATATAGAATAGATTGCTGATGATTTTAAATAGCCGATTGGTGCTGGCCTTTTTGTCTTTCTATAACATCAGTTTCTCGGAAACTGCCTTTTCAGAGATACTCCTATTTCATTTGGAAAATGATGAGAGAAGAGAGAAGGTCACCTTTTATGAGCTTGCAGCTTCAGAAATCTTTTACAGAGATTGAAAGCGACATAATTCTTTAAAATACATATTCAAGGCCACTAAACAAAGTAAAAAACGGCCTTTTTCGAAAACTCCTGTAACAATTTTTGTGGCCTAAATACCTGTAAAGCCATATTTGCTGCTTGACCCGTCGATACACCGTGTGCTGTAGCTTGTTCCATATTTGATGGACCAGGTATCGTTTTCGCAATAGAACGCATACTGCTGCCAGGCACAGAGTTGGAATTTTTGTCAAGAACTGAAGTTTCTTTGAGATTTAAAAACACACAAGTGAAATGAGTTAAGAAAACAGCTAATCAGTATGAAATCAGAAAATGGAAAAAGAAAATAGTAAAGAACTAATTACATAGAGCATCCAAATCGAAGCTGTCTTTCTGACTTGTAAATAAAGTTGACATCCCTTTCAGAAATGAGCTTTTTGGTGGCTCGGGCATATCAACGGGTATAAATAACTCGCCAACTGATTCTTGTACTTGTTTTGTCAATTCAGAAGAAACTGTGAATTTCTGGATCTAAAATACTTGGAAAATATAATACTAAGTTTACTCCATATAAGCAAAATCTTATTACAAAAGAACACAGAAAAAAATAGAGGGAAATGAATGTATAACGTATCTTACACTTAGCCAATCTGTGGAAATGTGTATTTATTTCCACCACTTACTCTTAATTTCATCTTTGATCTACCGCCTTTTCTCCTTTCATCTTTTCTCTCCTCTTCTTTTATACTTCAATTTGATTAAGTATTAAAATGATTTTTTTTGAAGCTAAGAAAAAGAAAGAAAAGGTAAGAATTGAGAGAGGGCTTCCCTTAGCAAATATTATTAGAATAGCATTCAATTATCTTCTGCAGTTATTGACATTGATAATAACTGAACAACGATTAGAATTAATCAGTTCAATCGGTCGCTTACCTCTGATGGTGTTATTGCATACATACCCAATCCATGTTCTGCGAAAGATGTTTTAAAGCACATGCTGAAACAGGACCAAAACTGCGAAAACATTCCAAAATAATCTTCTTTACTTCTACTAAACTATAAAGCAATGCACAAACCAACGCTGAAATTTGCATAATTTCAGATAATTTTGCAAAAAATTATTTCATCTTCCTGGCTTTTTTCTCTCCTCGCGGTCATCACTGCTTTAAAGTAGGAGAAATGCAGGTGATTCTGGTTCCTTGCCAACGATTATGATTTAAGTGATATTTCACTTTTTACTAAATTTTTGATAAACAAAAAATTTACGGATCATCATAATCAACGGAATGTCGGAAAAGATTTGAGCAAAGAAGAAGCCTTAAACTCGGAAGGCTTAGTATAACAATCTGTCCTGCACCATTCAATAACATTAGCACAGGATAACCACGGACGTGTGTTGCACGTGCCTGAAAGATTCAGATGTAAATAGCAGTGCAAGCTCACTCATTCCGCATTGCATAATTCAGTAATAAAATCTAAACTTCTACATGATAACTGTAATCATTCTAATCAATTATCTGCTGATTTGTTCAATTGCAAATGGCTTGATTTCATTTGACCATCAAGCAGTTTTGGCTCAAAGAGATCTTCTGGAAATACTTCCGTTGATACTAGAAATAATACTTCTAAGTTAGCTTTCATGAGAAAATAGTCCTATAAATTCTGAAATTTTCAAGCGTAATGGAAAATTAACCTTAACGAATGGGAATTCTGGACGATATAAAAATAGAGAATTGAAATTTGGTAATGAAACGGTATGTACTTCATCCTCAGAAACCAAAATAGCAAACTGAAATGACATATAAGATTAAAATTAAAAAAAGGATTTCGCAAAACTGAAATGATGTACTTTAATCTCAAAAGCCAAAAACAGCAAATTAAAACAATATATAAAATTAAAATTAAAAAAAAGATTTTTAACCAAAAAGGTGAATACCAAATGTGAATTTTTAACTTTTAGAAAATTTATTGCGTATGAATGTATGACGATAACTGCAAATCAAATATTTACTATCAGTTAAATAAATATCAGATTTCCGAATATCAGAGAGGTTCTTCGATTATCACTACCTGCAAAAAATCATCCTCTCGAGAGTATTCCGCAGCGTTCGAGCAAGTTGGTGAAAGACTCAATTTTGTAAGAACTTTGTTTGGAAAATTATTTTCTTCTGAATGATTCCCATCATCTTCCTAAAACAGATTGTTCAATTTATTCATGTTTACTCGATTTATGCACGCTTATGGATTACGCAGGCTTGCAAATTCCAGATGAAAATTAATAATATAAAATTTTATCCTAATTAATCCATTCGGAATTATTGAATTGATCTTCCTGTTCGTAAGATTTCTGGAAAAATTAGTTAGTTTCTCAAAATGACGATGAAATTTTCGAAAATACTCGTAGTTACATTGCTACATTATACAATCACGCATTATAAATATTTAAAACTTACTTTGGGTTTTGGAATCACTTTTTCATGATAACTTTCCGTCGCACCTTCTAACAAGCAAAAATTTCGATCCATCAATGTTGTGTATAATATACGTCCTCGAGCCTGAACTACTGAACCTAAAGAAATACCTTAGCGGACTAATGTTAGGTTTATTCATTTTGTGACATATCAAATTCTTAGATCTTTTAATTATGTTTCATAAGTATGCTATTGCATGAATTATGCTTCAACTGATCAACAAAATCCAATTCGAATTAGACTATGCAAGATTTTAGGCAATCTCAATAATCACCAACTGTAATTAGAGTAATCATTTGGCTGAATAAAGTTTTCCATAAAATGTTCTGCAGAAATTGACAAAAACAGAAACTAACCGCTATGAACTATGGAAACTGTTGAATTTAGTCGATCCGTCGGAAGTAGTAACTGATAGATAATACATGTGCTCGCAGAAGTACCAATCCAAAGACATAAATGTGCTCGAGAATCTGAAATTCTCAAAAAATTGTGTTTTTGACACAGAATTTAGAATCGCAAATATTGGACATTTTCTTAATTATCTCTGCAAATATTCGAAGTATCTTTTTCATAGTGAACAGAAAAGTCCCAAATTTTTAAAAGGTAAAGACCCGTTAATAATAACAACTGAAAGTAATGTAGATATTATAAGTAATTATCAGATATGTTAGAGAAAGTAGTATCTAATTTAACAAAATTAACCTTTTTTTTTGACAAATGATTGAATGAATGTTAATGAAGTCACACTCTCCGAAAAGACCATCTTGTTAGCGCTTAACGGACTTTCATCTACTGAACTTGCCTTCGTTGTTGTTGGATCTGAAATTCTCTAAACTTTATTATCAAGTATGAGTTTTCATGATAGAAAATTTAGACCAAATTTCAAGCAAATTTTGTCGAAGAATCCTGTCTGATTTAACTTCAAACATTGCAGTAGGATAAGAATAAAATTAAAATTACTCTATAAGGAAACATCCGTGTATGTACCAATTTCCTGCAGTGCTGAAAGCAAAGAAAAAAACCAAAAGTGGGAGAAAACAAAAATGAAGAATACGAGATATTAGTTGCCATAGTCATGTTAAATGCTCAGGCAAATCTTTATCCAAAAATAAGTCCTGAAAGTCCCCAGCTTTTTTTGAAGTTGCGAACTTGAGCTAAAGCTTGGAAAGATTAGTTTGAGCAAGCATAAACCAAATAAAACAATACCATTCCTTCATTATCACAACCATTCTTCTTCACTCTTCAACTGCATTCATTTGTATTACAACAAATTGCATTAACTCTTTCAAATTAAATCTCATAATTAGAATTTAATTCACAATGAAAATTTGACATCACACAAAAAAATTAATTAATAAGCTGGACAACAGGATGGAAGCAATGAACTTATTTACAATCAATTCATAATAATTAGTTTTCAATTATCATTTTGTATCACTCGAAAATAAGCTTTTTCGCCTGTTTTCGAACTTTTTTGAAGCGCTTTGGCACGAAAGATAAAAATCAATAATCGAAGTAGCTTATCCGAAAAAAAGGAGAACATTCATAAATTCTGAAAGACATTCAGGATTTCCAAAACATTTGTTCGTTCATATGGAATATGTTTAAAGGTGCGACAATTTCAATGATTAGGCAGTGTAAAAAATAAAGCAGGTGGAATATATTGTTGGAAGCTCCAACTATACCATTTTAAATAGTAATCTTATTTACAGTAATTTTTTCGTTTCGACAAGTTATCAAAAAAATACGAAATACCTCTAATGATTGGACAATAAAAATCTATTAACATCAATCTAAGCCTAAATGTAATGCTTACTTTTGCAATAAAGGCATGCATCAGTAAGTTAGCAATTTCAAATATGTCAAAATGACCTTAATCTTGTGCAGCATTTTTGTAAAATTTTTTCAACGCTGCAATAAAATCATATCGTCGAAATATAGTCTTTATGATGAGATTGGGACAAAAAAAAAAGAACGCAAAGCAAAATAAAAAAGGGGATTAGTGTAAAAATATGCTTAGCCTTCTGACTTTCCTATTTTCACTCATTTAAAAAAGTATGGGAAATATAAAAAATGAAGGGGATGTCAGAAAACAAAAACAAAGTACCATTAATTTCACAGCCTGATTCAACAATAGACTGCGACTTTAACAACTGCGGACGCCTATCCCGACGTAGACGTGAGTTTTCCGTATTACCGTGTAATATCGATTTGCTACTGACAAGAATTGGTGGTGAATCCATATTACGCCTCGTATCCACTCCATACTGAAGCTACCACCATAACAACCAGTTTTAAAAATTGTAATAAAATCTCAAATTTTTAAATTTTAGTTGCGTAAAGGTAAAGGTTTCTCTGAAGAATTAATGTAAAATATAAAATGTGATTTGGTTTCGAAGGCAACATCTGGGCATGTATCTACATTAAAGCTCTTACTATTACTATTTAGGTTAACTTATCAGTTACTAATATATTACTGCAAAAGTCGAAAAATTATTACTGCACGTAGTATGAATGGGACAGAAAAATAATGGTTCAAGGAATACAATGGTAAACAAATAAACTGACAAACATAGAAGAACTCGGAATAATACACAAGCATAAAAAAGCATAAAAAGAACAACGACTCAGAACCTTCATCGTTTGAGAAATGTTCCATCATCTTAAAAAAAATATCGATTCATTCCTAATCAACTCTGGCTTTCTCTTATTCGCATTTGCAGGATTAAGATTATTTGTTTTTTTCAAGTAAAGAAGAGCAAATAAAATATTTGCATACCATTGAAATCAAAGCCTGCCTTTTCTTATACGCACAATAACGGAATCGAAGTATAGCGATCTTCGATCCTATTAGTTATCTTGCTTATGGACTTAAAGATGAGTGCGAATGTAACAGATGAAACTGGATATTTTTTTTGAACTCGATAATATATTCCACTCTTTTAAATTTTGCAATTGCAAAAAAAAAAAATCTATTCTATTGAAACTTTGAATCACATGTCTGTTAAAAAAATTAAAACGAAAAAGTCGAAAATGGGGATATGCATGCTGATTACCTTACCTAACATTACTTTCGACCTTGATATTGATTTGGACTGTTCATCAGAGGTTGCTGCTGTTGTCGTATGTATCGTCAATGACCGAATAAAAGTTTTCCTTTTGACACGAAGTTTGTCAATCAAAAGCGAATCGTCCGCTCTTACGATTTCATCATTTCGTATAGATCCACTTTCTATTTCATTTCTAATTTTTACTTCACTTCCAACTGGTGGACGTTTCTTGTGATCTAAATTATGCGATGAAGAATGTTCGTATGTTAACACTTCCTTATCCTTATCATCTGTCGTTATGGATTCCACTGTTTTTATTTTGTCATTTCCATCTGCTGTTCGATTAAGCAATAATGTCATATGTTTGAGAAGCTTCCGACGATTTGATGATTTATTCGAAGGTCTCAGCTGTACAGCTGATGTATTTTTAACAAGTTTTGGCGTAACACATTTAACTGAAATGTCTTCCGGATATGTGACATCCGTCTGTAAAGGTAATTGTACGGAGGTATTTGTTGTGGAAGTTTCTTGTTTCCGTGATGGTACGATGAATGGCTGAAAATATCGATCAAATATGACAAAGAATTGCATGCAAACACAAAATTTACACAACATAAAATTATTTCAAACATTTTTGAGCAAGGACATGGGAAAATTTTCAGCACAGCACATATATATTTTAGAAGCAACATAGCTACACAGTTCACAATTCCGTTCAGATGACATATAACATATAAAACCTTCAAGTATATCAGTACTGATTACTAGCTAACGTACTCATGCTCACCACTAAATAACTTATCAATACTTTATGCCGTTCAATCAGTATCAGTTAATATGCCACGAGTGGTACCAGCCAATTTACTTGTTATTACTCAACTTATCAGGCCATTGGCTACATTTACTTCTAGACATTCTCAGGATAAATTTATAAACATTAGTTGCATATCAAAAGATAAGTGCAAAGAAAACGATGAATGCAAAACAAAGAACACAAACACCGATGTAATAAGCAAGGTCAAATATTACAGCAGCAAGCAATCATTCATGAATTAATAAATCGATTAAAAAAAACAGAAAGAGGGAAGATAATTGCAATATTTTCATTACCTACATGCTATTCGACTTTTCTGCACTTTCTATTCTCACTTATATAAAAAAATCATTGAATCAAAAGTACTTTTACAGCTCATACTACTGACAAGCTAACTCAGCTAAACTCACCAGTTTTGCCTTTGCTATTTAACTAAAGAATTGACATATGATTTTCTAGAACTGAGGAGTTGCTGAATATTAAGCCATTAAACATTAAATTACATGTTCTTATTCTCTTGAAATTTACAAAAATTACTCTTCAAATTTGCAACTTAGTTTCGAAAAAAATTTAAAAAGACAAACATCATGACTTGAATTGCTGTTTTGACTAAGCAATATTGGTGTTGAATGCTGCTGAACGTATAAATCAGCGACCGACCAAGAACATATTACAATATACTGTACCAAATCAACCAATGTTAAACTTGTTGATGTACCTGAAAATATTAAGATTGATAAATGACTCATTTTATATATGAATAAAATTTCTGAACAATAAAACCCAAACATACATACCATTCTTTATCAACATCATATTTTGAATTTAAGTAAAGTTAAATTTGAACAGGATTCATAGACTGGATTATGAAAGCTATTTTTTTACCATAGGACTATTTTCAAAATTTAACAGGACTAGTTTATTAAATTTAGAAATTAAGAATTCGCTACGAAACAAGATCAGCATGTCTGGGAAATTCTGCTATATGGATATCTACAGTTTGTTCATCGGTCTTCCTATCTGATTAAATCTAGTTATCAAATTTTTTTGATTTTCACACAAAAAGATGTGAAAAACTCATGCAATTATTCTTGGTGGAAACCAAAAAATGCAACGGGAAATAAAAAAGGAAAATTCTGTGTACAACTACTGATGCAATTACGAAAACATTCTAAATATACTAAAAAAAGAAATAGAAATTTAAACCGAGAGCAATAATGCCATATGCTGAATTAAGGGCCATTGCTGTAATTGTCTCCGGTTGTGAAACATTCTTCCATGGAACCAGACACACCAAATCTGGCTAAAATTAATATTTTATTAAGGGATAAGTAAAAAAAAAAGCTTTCAAGGATACAATTTTTGAAAGAATTTATATATGTCATATCCATGCCCACCTGATATCCTGCAAGTCTTCTGACCACTCCACCTCGTACTTTTAACGGAAAGTAACCATCTTGTGTGCTGCCCTCACTAGTATCCGTACTATTTGATTCCTCTGAAATTGCCGTTCCCTGCCTCCTCAATTCTCTCTTTGGAGAAGATGCTTTAGTCGATTCCATGTTACTCGATAAGAAAGAAAATGCTGATGGAATATTAATTACCTGAAAGAGTATGGGAATAATTTAAACATTCAAAAAGAAGTTATTTAACTGATTTAATGAGTAAAGCAATATTGACGTATGAAATGAAACAACAAAATATATTTTCATCCTCTATAATGTAAACCATTCAAAATTGAAAATTCTTGACGCCTTACAGTAATCTCATGGGAGTTTTCAGTTTTTTCAAAACGAAATAATGTCAATTGTCCGCTTTGTCCAGCAACTAGCAGCAATCGAGAATCCAAACATAATTCAACCATCATAACTGCATGCGGTGCTTCATGAGATTCCGTCTCATCATTTTGTTCGAAATGTCGCCCACTTTTTAATTTGTACAAAATTTGTAGATGCTCACCCGATGCTTGCCAAAATTTTATCGATCCATCTTCATGGCTGCAACAAGTGAAATCTTACATGAATTATATCTCATCAGTCTTGTATAACGAAAACTAAAATTTTTAACTAATTAAGAGAATCAATTAGATTATTAAAACATGAGATACAGCACTACTGTTCATTAAATGAACATCCTGACGATCCGCATCATGTCTGCTATTGTTATATTACTGAAACGATAACAGTGATTAATTTCTTCACACGGAGATTCTGAAACCATCGTTCTGTATTTTAAGCCAAGATGTAAGAAAAAAAAAATACCCCGTAACTAATAATTCTTGATGACCCATTGCACAGTCTCGTCCACTTCCACCTGTGATTGGCCATGGCTGTAAAATCAAATTTCAAAGTTTCAAAGCAAAAGGGTGCCAAGACATTAAAACCAGTGTTTAAAAAAAAATGAATAAACCTTATCACTGAATCCTTGACGTCGCTGTTTCGAACCAACAAGTGCTAAAGCACCAAGTAAATCAAGAGGACAGTTGGAAAAATAGGATATGCATCGTACCCGTGATTTATGAATATCCATAGGACTAACATTTTCATGGCATGGATAACTGAAATTGTTTACTCGTTTGGAATAGCAATCAAATTTAAAATCCATAATTTCATTTACAAATTTTTGACCGAATTGAAAAATTCAAAATACCGCAAAGAATATTTGTTAAGAAAATCCATATGATAAATTATAGATCTTTGAAATACCTCAAACTTGTTTTTCATTTCGATACTTAGAACTACTTAATATTTTACTCGATAATCACTTTGTAAATTGTGATGCGTGTCAAATGAATACATAGCTAATCAAATATAATAAAATCACCCTGGAATAGTAAGATCGATAACAAGTAAGTCATGTTTCATAAGTACTGCGACACCAGAAGGTTGCTGCGATACACTGCTAAAAGGTGAAGTATTCAGAGATGCAAAAGTGATCAAAGGATGGTCTAATTCCAGAACTGTAACTGATTTTGATGCTCTCATTATGGTCAAGGTGGGTAATACACCATCTTCTTCCAACATGCCTGAAAATCTGGAATTCTTAATCCGTTGAATGAAAATTTTAGGTTTTATTTTAGGGAAAGAAATTCATTAAAATACTGACCGCCACTAAAAATAATTAATTGTTCTCCATTTGCCAAGTGCTTCCAATCAACCTGAAATTTGCAAGTAAATTCAGTTATTGCAAATTGAAGAGAAAAGATGAGAAGTCTGACATCTCCATATCTTAAAACTATAATATTCAGAACTACAGAATTTGCATTTTTCTTCCTAGTTTCATATTCACAAAAATTCACATAAAGACAAACTTGATTAATAGGATTACACTTTTGTCCATGAGGTTGCAGTTTTTGTACATATTCCCCCGGCTTTCGAACATTCCAAATTAATAGAGATCCATCTGCAGTACCACACATAAATTGTCGGCCATCATGATGCCATGCAAAGCAACGAGCTGGAGGATCAGATATGAACCTATTCGCCTAAAATAGATATCAATGATCAAGAATAATTGAACTTTTTTTCCAGATTAATAAAAAAATTACAAACAGCTCAATAGAAATTAATTTCTAAAATAGCCGCTTACTTCTTTTGTTTGAAGATTCCATAATACAACATTTCCTTTTTCGTATAGAAGCAATAATTTAGAAAATTCTGTAGGACAGGTAGAAATAGCTTTTACACTACCAGGATGAGTACGAACACCTCTGAAATATAAGAAAACAGAATAAGTCTCATTTCAATTGAAAGTGTAAAATCAAAAGAATACATTTCCTGATACGATTAATTAAAGGCATGTATTCTCATAAATGAATGCATTGTTACAAAGTTACAAATGG